CTCTCCCCTCTCTGATCAGGGCTTTCCATAGTTCACTGGGAGGCCACCAGCATTTCTTTTCCTCCAACTCCAAATGCAAAGGGCTAAACTCCCGGCAAGTGTGGTCAAGAAGTGGGAGCTACTTTCCTCCCAGTCATTGCCTATCAGATAGCAGCTCTATCCAAACCACGGTAGCCAGGAATAGTGGAGCCTCAGCCACCCTCAATCTAGCTTCACTTATAGGATAGAGAAGTCCTGGGGAAGACAAGCTGGAAAGATTAGAGCCTGAGAATTACCCAGCGCCCAGAGCTAAGGCTCAGTTGACTGAGCCGGAAAGGCATTCCATGAGAGAGCTCCAAAGCTCTCCCCAAAGGAACAGCTTTATTTGAACAGCTTTATTCCCCGCAGGTGGGGAAGTCTGAGCCTAATGGTGCTCTCAAAACCACAAGCACCTCCTAATTAAGGCAATGAGCTACGCCAGAGGCCAGGTACTGTGCAGAAAGAGCCAGGGAAGAGACAGCCCACAAGAGCCCTCCTGGGATCCAAAAAGCTCTGAAGCGTGGTCTCCATGTCTTCCCCGGCCTGGATTTAATTGCATCAGAGCACGGAGCAATGTGTGTCCCAAGGCCTTTTCAGAAACACCCATTGTCAAGCCCCGTAGGTAGGGGAGGTTGATGGGCTGGATGCGAAGCTGACAGGTGGACAGTGAGATGCGGAAGACACAGGCCCTGCTAAAACTAACCACGCCTGGTGATTGTGCCTATGCCCACACTGTGCCCTCAAAGATAATGAAAATGTTCTAAAGCTGGTCACAGTGATGGATGTACAATTCTGTGAGTACGCTAAAAACCACTGCATTGTATGCTTTGAATGAATTATATGTAGGAATAATATCTCCACAAAACTATTAATAAAAAAGAAAAATACAAAAAATAAACGTTGCATACATTCATCACTTCGGAGACTTCAATCTTAAGAAAGAAAATAATGATAATAAAAACGAAACTAAATGATCTGGACAACAGAAAATATAATGAAATTATTGCTAGTTTGATTTTTAAGGTTTCATGACTCCCGTTTCTCTTTGAAACCATCCAGATTTCTGCAAAACACTTCTTAGTGTTCCCTGCAAAGCCCTCATTTCAGAACACTTTCCCTCGGTTTACTCCCAAGTCTTTGAATGGAAAAAGAATTTCCACTCAATCCTCCCAGAAGAGAGTCCTTTCCTCAGGCCCTTGCTGTGCTCCCCTCCTGAGTCACTGCCTGTCAAGTGCCCCAGGGCACAGACTGTGGTTCAAGGTTTTGCAGCCCACACCCAGGTGTGCCACACACGCAGCTCCCCCAACAGCCAATAAGAAGGCAGCATTAGGTGCTAATGGTTTCTTCTTGGCTCCTCAGCCCTGGGAAGAAACCTCAGTTGCTCAAAGAATATTGGGCCTAGGCCACCACTCACCACGTGATCAGAGGGATGTAGAAGTAACCTGCCTAAAGGGAAAATCTTATCCTTCAGAAACCTTGGATCTGCTAAGCTATGTCATTTACTAGCTGCTCACTTAGTCCCTTTCAGCCTCCATCCCCTCATTTGTCCAGTGAGCACACAGAAAACTAGGGTCAGGATTAAGCAAAGTATTGTGTGCTACAGTGCTTGGTATTTACTTCCTTTCTTTCTCAACTTTCACAAGCAGAGGTTCATCCCCTGTCCTCTCCCTCCACTGCTTTTGTTCCAAAATGACTTATTCCCATGTGCCTGGGCTTGGAGAAACACCAGGGTCTCCAGTTAAAATTGTTTAGTTTCACTTAAAATAAACTTACATTGAACCAAAGGTGAATGCCCCCCAAAAATAACAACCACAGCCAGTAAGAGAGGACAGGGACTATCAAGTCCCTGTGTCTTTAGTCTGCTCTATGGATGACAGATCCCACTGTAGCAGTAGCTGGGCCAGTGGACAGTGATGGATACCAGCAGCAGGGCTGACCTGACATAGCACAGACATCCATAGTGTTTACAAATCCAGCAGGCAGGGATCTTCTCCAAAAGTCAAACACTTGGCCACTCTTCTCCCATAGCATTAGTCTCCAGTACAAATATTTGGAGATAAAATCAATTCTTTTCACTAAAATGGGGTAGGGTTGGGGGGATAATCACATGTCCAACCTTAAACACAGCAAACAGTCCCACTCTTTGTCCCCTGCATGAAATGGCATGGCTTGGCAGGACACTGGTTCCACTGTGGCCATTTAGTTGACTCCAGCCAGTTCTCCCCAGGTGACCAGGGAGCTCAGAGGCTTGTGAGAATCCATCCAGAAACACTGCTTTAGCAAAGTCCCCATGGCAAAGAAGAGAAATTGGGAGTCTAGGTGCAGTCACAAAAAGAGTGCAAGAGCCAACAAGAGGCCACCTTCACCACCGATGGTGGGTAGACAGCTCTGCCCTCAGAACAGGCTGCTGGGACAATCCCCATGCCAACTTCTCTGCCCGGGGAAGGTCTCATTCCTGTGCAAAGTGTCCAATAGTTGGCCTACTTTTCTCACATTTCTTCCCTCGGGCACAAAAGGACTGGTTCTCCACACCTGCTAAGCAATGGACCAGCTTCGAGGCTGGGGCAACAGATTCTCCTCCATGATCACCAAGTGCAAGTGCTTTCCTGGGGTGACAGGGCCTCCACAGGGTGGGAATATCTCTGATGCTCCCCTCTGGGACCACATCACTGAGGACCTCTACTTTCACTCACCCTGTGATGTGCTGAATTGAGTCTCCCAAAAGTATGTGCTAAAATTCTGACCCCCTGAGAGCTTATGTGGAAATGAGTCTAATGCAGACATAATTAATAAAGTTAAGGGAAGGTGGTATTGGAATAGAGCTGATCCTAAAGCCAACAGGACCAGTGCCCTTATTAAAAAAACTTGGGCACAGAGACAGACACATACAAGGAGAACTCCACATGACCATGGAGGCAGAGATTGCAGCTTCAGGCTGGGGACTCCCAGGGAGCTAGAGAGAGTCAAGGAAAAACTCCGCCTGAGAATCAGAGTAAGCCCACCCCACTCCCAGACTACGGGCCTCCAGAGCTGTGTGTCAATAGACTGCTGTTGCTTTAAACCATCCAGTTTGCTATACTTTGTTGCAGCTGCTAGAAACTGATACAGGGCCCAAGCTCTGAAGCCACATCACCCCAGCCCATTGCCAGCCATGTCTCACCAGTCAGAGGGACAGTAGACTGACAGCACAAGAAGAGAAAGAGATCAGCCATGCAGAAATTGCAAAGGGCCTCATAAGGCCAAGGAATGTGAAGGACAAGAAAGGGAGAATCACAAGCTGGCCACTGTGCCCAGGCAAGGACCCAACCTGGGAGGGAATCTAAGCAGCATGGAATCCAGTGAACAGAGAATGGCTGAGATTATCTCCAACCGCTGGCTGAGCTAGAATGGAATCAGGTCTCCTCTCTGCTTTCCATGAAAATCTGAAGTTCCTGCCAATAGAAAAAAAAAAAAAAACAGAGGCCCCCAACACAACGATCTCCTACATAAACATATATTTGATAACCCCACTGCCTTACCCAAAATTCTTACCCAAAATTCTACATGATGACCTCCCCCACCCCCACATGCTGCGGCCAAGCTCACAGTGGGGCTGACGTTGCTTCATTAGGCTGCAGCCACCAACCTCAGAGTCCTGAGATTTCAAGTTATTTCTACTTCTCCAGCAGGGAAGGAAAAAAACAACTTGGATCTGAAAAGCAGAAGGAAGATTAAGAAAGTGCCTCAGCCCCAGGCATCTATTTTTTTTAACCACTAACTGGGCAATGAATAATTTATAGCCAAGAATGTTTGTGGGGGGGATAAAATGTTGACAAGTCAAGAAAAGCTCTTAGCAGCCTAAAGGAGCAATCCATCTTTAAGAAACAGGTTTCAAATGCATAGCTGGTGAAGATCTAGTTGCGGTTGTTTTATTTCTCTTTTTTCTTGTTTCTTTTTTATCTATATGGAAATTGGTGGGTGCTGAAATATGTTTTCCTTCTGCTGAGTGATATTCCATGCAAGAACTAAATCATCATTTCACGTAGCAAGGAATAAACACCCTCAGCCCCTGCGGTGGAAGGAGCAGACAAACTTCTGCACTGTCACCACCCCTTGCTATTCCTGGCAGGATCCAAAACCAGGCCCAGACTCAGTAGAGCAAGGTGGTGGCTTGGTCTGGGAGAACCGTTCCTCAGGCAAGCCCCAAGAAAAGCCAGGGTGACTGCACCGCTGTTATGGTCCATACATTGTGTCAACTTGAGGAGTCTAAAAGCTTAACTAAGTGATTCAGCAGTTTACATCCTGGGATGAAAAGGACATGCCCTTACCCCTCTAGGATGTTGTTCACTGTGTCAACTTGAGAAGTTTAGAAGGTTAATTACATGACTCCACAGGGAGCCAGGGTCTTTACTTTGTAAACATCCTGTGTAAGAGGAGGACAGGGAGATGGTATGGGTGCAAAGGACCACGTCCCAAGGTGGGTAGGCTGCATACAATAAATGGAAAATGAGTCTCCAATGACACTTGGAGGCGCTGCATTCTTCACCTTCAGCTTGGTCGTCTCCTCACGTCTGGTGCAAACTCTTTGGCTTCTGCTTGGGACTTTTCAGCCTTCTGGTGTAGACTCTTTGGCCTTCATTGAGATTCTTCAGCATTCCATCACAGACCATTGGCCTCCTGATATGGACTTGCACAGACACTGCAGTGAGCTCCAGACCTTGGGCTGGACTCTTTACTCTCTAGCATGCACGCACCCTCTGCACACATGCTCCTCCAACTCTGTGGCTGACCATTGTAAGCCAACTTGTAATTCCATGTACATTAGTATATCTTGTGTTTTATCTGTTTCTCTGGTAAACCCTGACTGATACAGCAGCTGAGATCCCCTTGTCTTTTTTTTTTTTTTTTGGTTTTTCTCCGGTACCGAGAACTGAACTCACGACCTTGCGCTTGCCAGGCAGGCGCTTTTGCCGCTGAGCTAAATCCCCAGCACCCCCCTTGTCTTTGAGGACTAGGGATCCTCATACTATACTCCAGCCCAGGCTCCAGGATACCTTGCAAGGTCTTCACAGTGACAGGGCCTAGGATGAAGCCAATGGCATCAAGTCTTCTGACAGCTTCATGGCCAGGCTTGCACAAAGCACTTGCTGCGTCCAGGGCTGAGCTCCTTACAGAGATCTCATTTAGTCCTCATGTTGGTCTTCTGGCTGGTGCTAAGCAAACTGTCCAGCTACAGCTTCTCTCTCTGCTTCAGGAGGACCACTTAAAAACAGGAACATCTACAGGTCACACAGGAAGAAGTAGTAAAAACTGGTCTTGGCCCTGTGTCTCAGTGCTATGCTCAACAACCATGCCATGGCACCCTTCTGTGTTCTTACACAGACTGGGTTGGTTTTCCAGAAATTATCAGGTATTAGAGTGTGCTTCCTCAGTTCTCATCCCCTCAATGCCCCCCAACTACTCTGAGCCCCTAGTTGACCAAGCTTAGAGTGGAATTCTGAAACCCAAGGCCATAGAAAGGCCAAGTTCATCAGGGAACAGGATGGGTCAGGCTAGTAGTATTTATCAGAGCTGTACTAGTTATCCACTGCTGTGTCGTAGCAAATGACCCCCAAATTAACAGCTTTAAAATGACAAACATTTATTGCACAGAGTTTCTGTCAGTCAGAAATCCAAGTGAAGCTTCAATATGTATTCTAGTTCAGACAGAACTTTTAACAACCTAGGATCAAGAGACTTGCTAGAGATTTGATCATTTCATTCAGTTGGGGAAGGGTCCACTGCCAACCACACGGTTACTCACCAGATTCCTTACCAGCCATGGATGCATCTACGGTTTCTGATTCTCACTCCTGTGGGGTTAAAGACCTCCCTCAGTTCCTAGTGATGTGGGCCTCTCCAACATGGCAGATGGTATCCCTTAGAGCCAAGAAGACAGCAAAAGAAGTAAGCAAGATGGAAGTCAGTCTTTCATAATGTAATTTCAGAGCGACATCCCATCACATGTGCCATGTTTTCCCTTAGGAACAAGTCACCATATCAATCCATGCTTGTAAGGAGAGGGGCACTTAAGGACAAGAGAAACCAGGGTGGAGTAACCAGGAAGCTGCCTTCCTCAACAATCTACACTAGTTGCCTGCTGCCTGGTAAGAAATTGCCCACAGCTTAGCACAACAATAATTATATAATATACCTCACAGCTTCTGTGGTCAGGAAAAAAGGGAGTACTATCTTAGGGACTCTCCTCAATCAGATGCCAGCTGGGCTATAGTCCTCTGAAAGCCCATGTGAAGCTGAAGAACCCATTTCTATGTGGCTGACAGGCTGGTACCAAAGGGTGTGGGTCTGGACCTGGCTTGTGCAGAATACTGTCCAACAGACCAGTGTGAAAGCTGCTGGACCTTTTAGGACCCAGCCTTGGAAGTCAAACCCTGTCCCTTGTGTGGTATCCTTTGGTTCACACAGGTCAGCCCTTGTAATGGTTGACTGATTGTGTCACCTTGAGTTTAGTTAAGAGAAGTTTAACTAAGTCAGCTCAGCAATTCTACCTTCTAGGGTGTAGAATACCCACCCTAGGGCAGCTCTTTGCCTAGTATAAAGAGGAAATGAGGAAGGATGGGACCTGCTTCTGTTTCTTTGGAGGAGCTTCAGTCTTCGCCTTCAGCTTGGACACCATCTCCTGGCTTCTAGCACAGACTTTTCAGCCTCCGTCATAGACTCCTCAACCTTCCAGTGCAGACTCTTCAGCTTCCAGTGTGGATTCTTCAGCCTTCTGGCCTAGACTCTTCAGTCTTCCATTGCAGACCCATCGGCCTCCTGATATGGACTTGTGCAGGACACTGCAGTGAACTCCAGACCCTGAACTGAAACCCCTGGTCTCCAACATGCAGCCATCCTGTGCATGCATCCTCATCCAATTCTGTGGCTGACCAACATAAGCCAACCTTGTAATTTCTTATACATGTGTATATCTTGTGTTTTCTAGTAAAATACTGACTGATACAGCCCTGCTCAGTGTGAAAGGGGTATACACACACACACACACACACACACACACACATGCACGCACACACACGACATGAATCCCTGGGGGCCATCTGGAAGCTTACCCTCTACCAGTAAAACAAGCCACCACAGGATGGGGCAGCCAAATGCTAGAGCCAGACTAAAGAACAGAACCCAAAGTCCAGATATACATCCTCTGCCCAAGTCCCTGAATGTAACAGGCCATTTGGGAGCCATGACTTTATGACACCTCCTCTGCTTGCCATGCAGTAGAGCTCCTATATGGAACTCCTATTCAACTTCTAAAGCTTATTTCAATTGTAACCTCCTCTGTTCTCAGCCCCTGTCTCAGTATCTGTCTGCTCATCCCACATGTCTGCAACTCCTATGTGGCCAGGGTCCACAAGCATCTGCCAACAGTAGGTGCTAGGTCTCTGTAGGACTGAATGAACTAAGTGATGTTCAAGTCGCCATTGGTAGTGCCCTGCTTCCTGTGCTCCTTCTTACAGTTGCTGCTGGGGCTATTTAAGCATGTGTTTTGCTGCAAGCACCTTTCTGAAAACCTCCTTCAGGCTCTACTCCAGAGGCCCTCACACATGGCTCTTGGCCCTTGCTGAGGACAGTCCTGAGCTGTCACCCAGATCCAGAAATGATCATCTCCATCCCCTCTTCTTCCATAGATTCCATACACATGGTGTGATTCTTACCCAGCTCCCCTCCCACCGGTGGTACATTTCCCAGTGCTCTTCAGACCTCTGCCAAAACTTAGCTTGGCTCTGACCCAGTGGAAGTCCTCCAGGCTAAGGTGGGGGAGGAGAAGTGCCCTGTTTGGAGATGAATGTGGCTGATGGTATATTTCACACTGAATGAATCTGCAGTGCCAAATGGGAAGTCTGCCCTTGCTACTTTAGGGAGGAGCCAGCCTCTTAACTGCACAGGTATTTTGCAGGGAGGCAATCCATATGCATGTGTATCACCCACCTGAACAGCAAGCTCTGGGACCTGGGCAGGGCAAGGTGATCCCTGTCCTTCAGCTCAGCGTTTTCCATTCTTCATGCTGATGGAGGAGGCCTTTTTGCCCTCGGAATGTTACCTTGTCTGGCAGGTGCTCCCTCCTGAAGAATGAAAGGGGCCAAAGCTGAGATGCAGAGGAGCCTAAGGGCAGGGGAAAGATGAGCACGAAGAAAGAGAGAGGAAGCCCCACAGGGTGGAAAAAACCAGGCAGAATTAGAGCAAAAGGGACTTCAGAAATAGCCCACAGCTCCTGGAAGGGCAGGCAGTGCTTGGGCCCTGGAGTGTCGCTCGGCAGCTGCTTCTGACCTTGCTCTCTTTCCACACCCCGTTCCATTTTGTTGAGGGACAGTGTGTCAGGATGATTTTGGTTCCCAAGCTCCAGGGATTCAGGGTTCAGTAGATCTCGAGGGATCAGCATTTTTGCTTTAATCTCCCTCCTTCATGCTACGAAACTCAAGTTTAAAAGCCCCTACCTAAAAGGTAAAATGACTACACAACCTGTTTTCCTATACAATCCCTATTTCTCAGAACTGATCAATTGAAGTAATTTGTGCTAAAATGGAAATCATTCTGTTTTCTAAGTCCTTGCATGTAAATTTACTTAATATATTTTAAAACCCTGTTGATCAACTTTATGTTCCAAGTTAGGGCTTTTCAAAGTTCCATTACTGTACACCGGCAGTTTCTCGTTTGTTAAAAAGATGGGGAGGCTCAGCTTCTAAAGCATTTCCAGAATGAAACATTACAATGGCCTCTTCCCAAATGAATTTACATCGATCCTATTCATTTATTGCCTCTGATTTCACCTTATTCACAATGGTTTCAGAGCCTAAGAAACAAGCTAGAGAATTAAGTCTAAATATCAGTCTCTATTAGAGCCAGTGGCCTGAATCCAGAAACCTGTCTGTCCAGCATCCTTGCTGGTCCTGCTCACATTTTGTCCTCCCTTCTAGACTAGCCTCTGCCTGAGACCAACATCTGTGTCTGAGTTCCTTGGCTCATGCATCACAGGCTTAGTACAGAGCCTGGAGCATGATGGGCATTCAGAGCTAAGGCTTCTTGTGACCTCTGTCCGGGGCTCCTGAAAAACCCACTGCCCACCTGCTACATGACAGGACATTGCCTTGCTCCCACCAATGCATGCAGCCCTCAGAAAGAAGAGCTCCTTGGAGCCCCTTGGAGCCCCTTGGAGCTGGCCCACGAGCACAATCCCACCAAGCCTCCTAGGCATCTCAGAGCACAGAAAACCCCCCACTATCATCACCTCCAAATCCCTTCAGGTGGCAGATGCCACCCAGCAGGAAAATGGCCAGTGATGTCAGACAGCCAAAGACATTTTAAGCAGCTGTGGCCTCTAAGCTTATCCCTGGGAGAAGTTCACCATCCTTACTAAAAGTGTCTGGATTAAGGACCTCACGGATCAGGGGCCATCAGATTTCAAAACACGCTCACTTCGTGGGGTTGTCCATAAAATGTCCAGAAATGAAAGAGCAATGACAAAGGAAAAAGCAGGGCAAACCCTAACTGAAGTCGTCTCCTTGAACTTCATCTTACCTTCATCCAAGCAGCTGAGTTCACTGTACCCTCCACGAGAGATAAAGACCTCAACCATCTCTCTTGGTCCCAAAGCCTGTGACAGCAGACTGCAACACATTCACCCCACGTAACACTCAGCCTGCCTAGTTACCCGTGTCCCTTTCCAGGACCCTCCAGGCACTCCCTAAGGCTCTCTGCTTCTTAAGATCTGCTCTCTATTTGAGGCTTCCTCTTTCCTGAAAAGCATTTGCCACTGTCAGGGATGCAGCCACAAGAGGATGCCTGCCAGTCTCGCTGATGGAGTGCCGCAATCAACAAGATTTACCTCCTGCCAGCCACAGGGAAGAGTCACTCTCACCCTCCATGCCTCCTGGTTTTAATGTTCTCCTTAGAGTTCATCAAATGAAAACCCTAGTTCTGAGGTAGAAAAGCCTCTTAGGAGGTTAACAGCAAGTGGATAGGGCAATAAATGTAATGATTTAATTCTTCAAGGATGGCTAAACAAGCCGCTGTTTACCGAAGTCTTAGCAGATAATTACTAACGGATAATTACAAAAAGCTGCCGGATTGCAGCTGCCCCAGAAATGGCCACAGCCCCAATCTGCTTTGCCAAGCTAAGTAAATGGGGTTGATTCCACAGAGAAATTCCATACAAGTCACTTTCTGGGAAAGACACCAGGCAAGAACTTGCACTGTGCTCTCGTCTTGCTCCTAGCCTCCCCAAAACTGTGTCTGCCCTCATTGGAAGGCCTCTGGGTTGTAACCTTCCTCCTCAGAGAGGGGCCACAATCTTTTTAACCCAGTTACTCAAATAGCCTATTTCCTTCTTTTGTCTAAATTTAGTAGACAAGGGGCACTGGGACATTTCCTACAGAGGCACAGTTCTGGGTCATGCTTGGATGTAAGGGTTCAAATGTGCACTTGTGGCTGTAGCCTTCTGTGGAACGTGGGAGCATCAGGCATCCTGAGGTTGTCAGAGAGGCAGCAGTTAGGGAACACCGGCCACCTGGCCAGGAAATTAGTCCCAGAGCCCAAGAAGAACAAGGCCTGTCAGTGGCAGAATCTATGGGCCACCTGGGCCTCTGCTGCCCTCACCCTCGGCGATCACAGCATCTCCTATCTGTTGGGCCCTAACCTGCTCTAAACACACCTCCCACTCAGGAAGAAATCCAACTCCAAAGCTCTGTCACATCTTACAGTTTTACCAAAATTTACCACGAGGAGGGAATAAAGGAGGAGATGACAGCACACACCTCGATACAAAACATGTTTAAATCCCTTCTTAATACCCCAGTTGGTCACCAGGTTTCCCTCCTGCTGTACAGCCTTGTCCTGGAACACTTCTCTCCCTCTCTTTGGCCTCATCTGGATCTGGACCAGGAGGTCCCCTGCCTCGAGGCCCAACCTGCCTTTCCCATGGGCCAGAGGGTCCTCCGGGTTCTTCAGTTGGCCCACATTCATTGTAGTAGCTCAGGGCTGCCCCTCCTGCCAGACAGGGTCAAACCTGTAGGTGAAGATGTTCTTTATGGTCATGGGCATGACTTAGGACAGTCTGTGCTCTAAGACGGGGTCATACCTACAGGAGCAGCTCTCCTTTGTGACTGTCCAGTCCACAGCATTAACTCCATGCTCATAGGCCCTGTGACACCCTGCCAGAAGGATTCTGGTCTTTCAGCTGTGGAAATGCCCAAGGCCACCCATGCTGTGCAGGCAGCTCCAGGAGAGGGTATTCCCTACACTGAATCAAAGATGGACCCTTGCCAGTAGACTAAGCTATCTTCCTTGGAAACAGCAAAACACTGTTACCTCTTTTCCTCTAACAAGCTTTAAACAATAGAAGTGCTTTTTATGTCCTTCTCCCACTTTGCCACTCTCTAGGATGAGTGTGGGAACTTTGTCCTTCCTCACATGCCAGGGAAGGGTCCAGGTGCCCTCAGTGCCAGGGTGGATCTCCCATGCACAGAAACCAGCTTGGTCTGCCCTTCTCCAGGAGGGGTCCGAGGTGGGTTGATAAGATTCAGTGTGGTCCACCCATGTAGACAACAGCAAGACCCCCCCACTCTCCTAATCACCCCGCCTCCCACAGGCTTCTGTCCCATGACAATGGGGATGCTGGCTTCCCTGGGACTGTTCTTATGCCAGTAATTGACACCTACTCATATCAGCTTACAGCAGGTCTTTAACCAGAGGCATGGGAATATATGGAGGAACCACAGAACTGCCCCAGGAAGTGCACATTTGGGAAACAAAGGCCTGCTGCTTCCTCCAGCCCCCACACTACTCTCATGGCTGTGCTTTCCTCCTCTTTACTTCTCTCTAGCCTTTGGTCTCTTTAGTCTCTCCTCACTTGCTGATCTTTTTGCTCTGTGCCTGCCTCAAACATTCAAACATGGCTGTCTGGGGTCCAGGGCCCCTACTTACCCGACTAATGCCTCCAATCCCCATTCCAAATGCCCCAAAGAGAGTTCTGATTGACTTCCCAGGGATCAAGCCTCCTTTCTCATCAGCTGAAGAGCTCACTGGCTCCAGGGCCCTGCCTTACGGTGAGTGCAGGTGAGCAACCCTGCCCCGCACCCAGGTATGAGTCCTCTGTGCTGCTAGGCAGACATCTCTGTCTCTCCAGCCCACCCTGCACTCACACAGCCCACTGACACAGCGCTTGTCCCTTCCTCCTGTGTCTTTCCCTCTTCCAAGAGTGTCCTCTCACCAACTAAGGGGATTTTATTTTCATCCAATTCTGGTTCCAGCATAAATGTTCTTCCTCCTCCCTTGTGATGTTCAAAGGTTGGACATGTGTATCTGACAGTCCCCATAAGGCTGCAGCCACAGGCCTAACCCAGACAGGATGAGACATGGCAGCCAACCCTGGGTTCCTGCCAGAGCTCTGGCACCTGGAACCAACTAAACTGTGGATCTTGTCCTTGCTGCTGCTACCCTACCCCTGCCTGGTCCTTCCTGCCACAGCCTTGCCCTCAGTAGCCACATGTCCCTAGGCCCTACCCTGTGTCATCCCCAAAACAGGCCCAGGGCATCAGGGCTCCTCAGTGGCTGCCCCAGTCCCACCTGTATCAGTGACCCCTGTCCAGCTTCCCACAGACCCCTCGACGTGCCGCTGTTCAGGGCCTTCCTGTGGAACCTTCCAGCTGACAGGAAAGGATGCACATTTCCACTTGAGCTATTCTGGCATCAAACACTACTCAGCAGGAAGCCTGGGCTCCTTCAGCCTGACTGAATTAGTGCCACCTCCACAGGGGCTCCATTAACAACACTCTGGTGGCCACAGAGAGATGCAGGAATTCACTGGGTTGTGGAGCCGCACGTCCGCCACACCACAGCTGCCCAGCCTTGGGAGTAATTCACAGATGCTGGTTCCAGATCCACCATGCAAGGATGGTCCCTACATTAACCTGGACAGAACCACCTCAGAGGCCACAGCAGGGCTCATTTTTAAGGCTGAGATTAACATTTTTCAGGACCACATTTGTAAAAATTGTATTAGTAATTCAGTACCTACAGGGAAAATCCAGCTTGATTTTCTAACACGGGTTTTCAAAATGGCAGATAA